TAACAAAGGTTGCTCTAGGGTCACTGGGTGACATGGGATGCTGTAGCGTTCTTGGGTAGAAATGTATGCTGTGAAGCATTTCTCAACCCTTTTAACATGGAGGAACCCTTGAAATCACTTTGCAGTCTCAAGGGACCCTTGCTAATTACTATATATACGCTTATGGTACATGAAAAAGTGATGGTCAGTGGGAAGAATGTAGATATTTGTGTTTCATAATGAAACAATTTTTCATCTGAAAATAAAATTTTTGGAGATTTGGATGTATACGAATTGCCGAATAGACATAATAACAAATGTCAACAAAGAAAAGTTATAATGAAATTAACAAATGCATTAGTTTCATTTGGACATCACATGATGCGATAGTCGTTCTGGCCCTTGGCGATTCTTATTTGTTCGACAATTTGGAATTCAAGTAAGTTTGTGATTTGAATTGAATTTGTAATTGTCACAATCAGTTCAGTTCCACAGTCTAATGCAATTCTTAGGTTTTTCTGATACATGAATATAGAATCGACCCGAAATATAGCAATCTTCCGAAAAACTTCAAGATTTTTCTAATCCACTTGGACTAACGAATATACAAAATGAATGCTGAATATATTGAAATGAATCCCGAAAACCAATCAATTCAACATGCCGAAAATGACGAAACAAAATTCTTCAATGAATGCATCCGAAACATAACAAAAATATTTGGCGTGAACATCTCTAGAAGAATGTACCCTATATTTTTGGTCAGTGGGAGGAATCCTCCCTTACAGATTGCCAAAATGATCATTGGTATCACTGGTTACTTATCTGAGAGGCAACAATTGCTCATGGTTCAAGGAACACCTAACAAGCTCTGAAGAACCCTAGGTTTCCACAGAACCCTGGTTCAGAAAGCCTGCTCTGGAGTCATTGGGAACACAGGATGCTCTGGAGTCTTTGGGAACAAAGGATGCTCTGGAGTCGCTGGGAACACAGGATGCTCTGGAGTCGCTGGGAACACAGGATGCTCTGGGTCGCTGGGAACACAGGAGCTAGGCAGCAGGGGTCTCAGCTTAAATAAAGCCATGATCTGCTTCAACTCCAAGCCACATGTTACTTTACAATTTAAAGCAGTATCGTTCAGGAGAGCTGTCTCCTGAATTGCCGGGGTACTTATCAGGAGTACTGCCTGCAGATTGCCCATGGTGCCGGAACTCTTGGTAAAACACAGAAGTGCCAGAGGGAAGACTCCAAGCTGAATCGAATAGTAGATGAGTAGCACCTGACAAATATTTTACCTTTTGCCTACTCTATCCAAAATTAAAAAAAAAAAAAGGTTCTGACTTTAGATAAACCTGAACATCGCCATTCCATAATTTCTTAAAACCTTTAAAAAAAAACAAAATAAAAACTTGTAGTACAAAATTATAAATGCAATTTACTATAGGCTAGCCATGAAAATTCCAGCCTAGTAATATGTTTCTTTTAATGAGGAGGTGAGCAAAACCTTGGACAGAGGGGTGGCGGTGGACATGGTATACTTTGATTTTGAAAAAGCGTTTGACACAGTTCCCCACACATGGCTAATATATAATGTAAAGTCCAGGGGCTTGTAAAAATCTGTATGTAAATGGATAGAAAACTAGCTAAAAGATTGTATTCAGAGAGTGGTGGTTAATGATTCATACTCTGAATGGTCTAGGGTTGTCAGAGGTGTACCCCAAGGTTCAGTGTTGGGACCCTTACTTTTTAATATATTTATAAACAATATAGGGTCTGAGATTAAAAATATAATTTCAGTCTTTGCAGATGACACCAAGCTGTGCTGTGGAATAACGTCCTTACAGGATGTCTCCAATTTACAAGCTGACCTCAATGTACTGTTTAATTGGGCAACTATGTGGCAAATGAGGTTTAATGTTGATAAATGTAAGGCTATGCACTTGGGGGGCTAAGAATATGCATGCATCATACATACTAGGGGGGGTACAACTGGGGGAATCAATGGTGGAGAAGGATCTGGGGGTTCTGGTAGATCACAAGCTTAATAATGGCATGCAATCCCAAGCTGCGGTTCCTAACACGAGCAAAATCCTCTTTGTATTAAAGAAGTATAGACTCCAGAGAGAGAGATATATCTTTTCCCCCAGTACAAATCATTAGTAATGCCTCATCTGGAATACGCAGTTCAATTTTGGGCACCAATTCACAAAAAGAACACTGGGGAACTGGAGAAAGTACAGAGAAGGGCAACCAAACTGATAAGAGGCATGGAGGAGCTCAGCTATGAGGAAAGATTAGAGAAACTGAATTGATTCTCTCTTGAGAAGAGAAGATTAAGGGGGGATATGATCAACATGTATAAATACATCAGTGGTTCATATGGTAAACCCCGTGTATAGTTATTCACACTGAGGTCATCACAGAGGATGAGGTGGCACTCTTTACATCTGGAGGAAAATAAATGTAATCTCCAAACACAGAAAGGTTTCTTCACAGTAAGAGCTGTGAAAATGTGGAATAGACTCTCTCAAGAGTTGGTTCTGGCCAGCTCAGTGGATTGCTTTATACAAGGCCTGGATTCTTTCTTGGATACACAGAATATAACTGGATACTTACATTTTTCTAGGTAAAGTTGATGCAAGGAATATCCGATTGCCTCTCAGGGGATCAGGAAATAATTTTTTTCCCTGCAGGAGAAAATTGGATCATGCTTTGCTGGGTTTTTTGCCTTCCTCTGGATCAACTGTGGGTATAGGATTGTAACTTTTTTTTTTTTTTTTTTTTTTTTAATGGTTGAACTGGATGGACTTTTGTCTTTTTTCAGCCACACTGACTATGTAACTATGTTAGGGGGTTAGCCACAAAATGCCTTCCTTGGATATTTTTAAAGAATTTTTAATTCCAGTTACAAAGCCAAGAAAATTCAACACACCTGCATTTGTATAGACAAATGTCCTTACAAACATAAACCAGTAATAAAGGCCTTTTAAATCCTTGACTGTTGAAAGCTTGGCAGGATAGTAGGGGTCCTTAGTAACCCCCTTCTCTGTCTGATGATGCAGCAACACATTGGTAAGCAGCACTGCTCAAGGATTTAAAATTCCCCACCAGCTGTGGGTGCCGAGACTATAGGGGGCCTGTCCCAGGCAGAGACAGAAGAATAAGGTGTACAACTTCCGTATTCTCTCTTTTCTTTATTGGGATGGGATAAAGGATATGGATTAAAGTATTTTTTAAATAAAAGAAAGGATTTGACAGGGGTGAGTTTTTTTTGGTTGTACCACAGACCTGTAGATGAACAGCTATCTGCCCACCTTCCCCTTTGTATTACAAGTTGTTGTCACAGCTTTATTGGTGGATTTTGCCTTGCCAACAACGGCTCCTACTGTATTTAATCGGTCTCTGTGTGCCTTGGTTAGTTGGATACCTGTCTAGTCCGCAATGGTGTGTTGACTATGTAGGCTTAGAGTTTGTCTGTTACCAACCCAAAGCTATTATTAAATGCAATCCTTATTGCTTTAGACCAGTGGTCTCCAAACTGTGGCCCGTGGGCCAGATTTGGCCCTTTGCTTGCCTTTATCTGGCCCTTGAGGCACTATTCTTCCCACTCATATGAGTAAATCATCCCCCCACTGATACAAAACAATATTCTTCCATTGAAACCAATGTTACCAATGTTGAGGTACCATTCCTTCCACTGACACCAACAGTGGGGCACTATTCATTACACTGACAACAGCAACAGGGCATTATTACTTCTACTGAAATCAAGTATGGGGTACTACACCTTCCACTGACACCAATAGCGAGGCACTATTCCTTCCATTGACACTGATGATGGCAACTATTCCTTCCACTAACATTGATGATGGGACACTACTCTTTCCACTGACACCAACACTGGAGTATCAATCCTTCAACTGACACTAGCAATCAGGCATTATTCTTTCCACTTGCACCAATGATGAGGCATTATTCCTTTCACTGACACCAATGATGGGGTACTATTTCTTCCACTGACACCACCAATGGGGCACTTTTCCTTCCATTGACACCAACAATAGGACATAATTCCTCCCACTGACATAAATGATGGGACGCTTTTTCTTCCACTGATACCAACGACAGGGTGTTATTCCTTCCACTAATATGAATAATGGGGCACTGCTCCTCCTCCTACTGACCACGGGCACTAGGTAATCTTTTTACTCCCACAGAACACTAAGCATGAGACATTGTCCACTCCCTATGATTCTGGGGCATTTTTTGCTCTCACTCGCCACACTACAGCCCCTTTAAAATCTGAAGGACATCAAACTTACCCTTTGTTTAGACAGTTTTTAGGCCTCTACTTTAGGTGTATATTATAAAATGCTGTTTATCCTAATAATGATGTCCCCCTACTGTTCCAAAGAAAGTAGCCTTGGTGTAGTTTTGGGCAGGGGCTAATGTTTGGGAGGGGAGTGTTTTAGTTTGGGATGTTTGTGCTTCTCAGCAGTCAAAGAACATCAATAAGACGTAAGGAAGCGAAAACATTCTGATGGTTCCTGACGGCAGCCATTTGGTTGGATAATCTGTTTTTACAAAAATATTGCATACAAACTTGCTGTGAAATAGCAACATTACAGCAGGAGAAAAATAACAAAATAAAGAGCCTAAGGAGGACATGTACAAGTAAAAAAAAAACTTCAAAAAGGACTATAGATACTCATTAAGCTAGCGTTGCATTGCTAAGATGCTTCCCAGCTGCTCTTCACAAGGCATATCCTAACAAACCTATAGGCTATCTTCTCTTGTCCCAGTTGCCGCTGAGCTGTGACTTTTTTCTATGCTGTATTTATTGCGTTAAAAAAGGTGTGCTAGTAGCAGTTTCTATACTAATTGTCAGCATCTTGAAAGCCAGGAATATGGATACAAGTAAAGTTATCATTGGCGTTTTTTGGAGAACACGTCAAGGATCTACATAGATGCAACCAAATTTAGGTCAATGCAATTGCAGTCTTTAGATTGATTGAGAAACCTTACCTGGGATTCCCAGTGACTTCACACTTCAGGTTGAGCAAGTCTCCTTCTCTCACCAAGCTTTGAGAGGGCTGAATTCGGGCTGTCGGGGAAACTGTAACAGAAAAGACAGTCATTATACCGAAAATGCGATGGAGCAGGAATACTTGCAAAACCCTTGGACATAATTTCAAATTTAACTAGGCTGTCAATGGGGAGAAGAGGGGGAATACTGCAGTTGGTATAATATCCAAGCACCTAAAGGTGTACAAGCTGTAGCTTCAAAGGACCATCTTATTCTATGATAAAGTCCCTTCAAGGTAAAAAATAGATAGAACATCAATATCTCATTTGCAAAAGACACTTTTTTATGCATTCACAGTAACATACCAAGGTCAATATCACCAAAACCTAGATACTAATATAAAAAAAATCATGAAAAGGGTTTTTAAGATAAAAATGAGCATTGACCTCTCCACCGTTCCAGGCTTCTGCAGCTGCACAATATATAGAAGCAGGTGCAGGTGTCGATATATAGAAGTTGGTAAAGTAAAGAAATACAGATTTTACTTGTTTCGGGCTGCAGCTGTGTTTTTATCACTTCCATTGTTGCACTCCCTTTTAGAATTGGATGCATTTACAGAGATAAAGGTGGGAACTGGCCAGATTGACCATTAAGCTCTATGGACAGACTCTTAGCTCAGATCACACACCATATGAGAGATGCTAGCATCAGATCTGAAAATCACTACAACAGTCTAATGATGTGGAAAGTAAGTTTTCTGCACTACAGAGGAACACTATATAGCCAAAGGTTTGTGACACTTGATCTGAATGCCTACTATATAGCCAAACCTATGTGGACACCCCTTAAGATTGTTCAGTTCAGGTGTTCGCGGTGTACATTACTGTTAATGTTACAGCACACAAAGACATTTTAGGCAATTGTGTATCTCCAACCTTGTGATAACAGTTTGGGGAAGTTCTTTCTTCTCTTCCAGCATGAGTTTGTCCCCATGCACAAAGACAGCTCCATAAAGATAGGGTGATGAGTTTGGTATGGAGGAACTTGAGTGACCTACATACAGTAGAGTCCTGAACTCAACCCTACTGAACACCTTTGGGATGAATTGTAGTGTTGATTACAGGCCAGGTCTTCATATTCAACCTGACCTCACAAATACTCTTTTGGCTGAATGGGCACAAATTCCCAAAAACACACTAAAAAATTGTGGAAAGCCTTCCCAGAAGACTGGAGGCTGTTAAAGCCATGGGATAAGAGCAATTCCATAATAATGTCCACAATTTTGGAATGGAATGTCAAGCTCTTCTAGGTGTGATGGTCAGGTGTCTAAAAACGCCTGGCCATATACTGCCTCTATTTGCTTACTGACTACAGTGGATGAAGGGGCAATGGTTACTCTTTAGTAATTATATCTAATAAAAGAAACAGAATGCCTGTTAGAAGAAAATAGTCCATGGAGCACATACCAACCAAATTCTATCATGTTTTAAACCAGGGAGAAACATTTGCACATGTAGGCCTTGACGTAAGTGGGTGACATCTCATCTTAGCTACTTGTGTTTAGCTGCATTTGAATGAATCCCAATCAAGTCCTTCTGGAACATTTTTTCTAGTTTTAGAGAAGCTGGAGAAGGAAAGATGCTCTCTGACGTGGTTACTGCTGTCTGTGGTCAGCTTACTGCTGCCTGTGCCTTTATCCCTCATGTCTTCAATACTTTCTAAGTTAGTGATTTTATCATTTATGCAAATCAGAAGTTCTTACTTTCCAATCTGGATGCTAGTCTGTGGATTTTGAGCTACGGTTCGGTCTGTCCAGGAGCAGATTGGACTGAGATGCCCCAACCCATCTGAGCCTTTCTCCTACAAATAGGACCAGCCCTTGCCCACAGTGTCTGGTGCACAGTTGCATTAAAAACTGACTATTGTTTTGCATGTCTTCTCTGGTGGCCTTCACATATACCTAAAGCAGGATCCTGCCTTCCAAACTCTGCCTATAAGCACACTGCCCCCAATTCTCTCACATCCAAGCATTCTAGTGTTTCTATAGAACTGTACAAACGGCATAGAGGCAAGGCTGAATAACGTCACCAGACACCAAAAATATATGACCTGTCCAGTTTGTAAGGGTACAGCCCGGTGAACCTCATCCTTTTCTAGATGTGACATTGCTGTTGCTATGGGAACAGCAAAACTGGCATTACCCCTTCTTCTAAATGGAGCCCGTTATGTGCAATATGTTAATTTAATTAGCGGTATATGATGAAAACTCTCCATGAAAATGGTCACTAGAAATACTGCGCCTTATCTCAGCCTGCTCTGCGAGCGGAAAGCACTGAGTGGTCAGGAGGGGGAAGGCTGAATACATACACACAGCGGCAGACAGATATATTGTAATGTATAACCACCCCTGTGAGTCTCTCAGGAACCATTCTCCTGTATTTACATAATGCTAATTGTATACAGCACGGATCGGAAGTCCAGGCACGTCTCTCGATCACATAGAGCTATGTCTGGTGCATTTTTAGCAATCTCAGCCACCAGTGAGACAATTTGGCCCTCCTCTCAGTGCTAAAGGGATGCAGATGATGATGTACAAAGATATTTTCTGGGCAATCGTAAAATTTGAACAGAGCATTGATTGGATGAATGACAGCTCTTCCCATAATAAGAATTATTCAATCAATAACATCATTCAGAATTGTTAGTACAGGCTGACGATGAGCAAAATTGAGTGATTTCATGCCCTGGCAAAATTTTGGCAAATTTTTTTTTTTAACATCAATTGGAAAGGAAAAATAAAGGTGGTTTTTAAAAGCCCAAATCCAAGAAAACATGATCCACAGCAGTGGGGCTGTACCCGCACTTTGGTGGTTCATTGCTCATTTGGGTCTAGGGGACATAGAAAAGAAGGCAATCTACTTACCCGGTCCTGCACGTTGCTAGACCGGTTCACACAATATCTTCTTCCTCATGCTCCAGTGGTCTAAGGTCCTGACATCATCAAGACCAGAAGAGTGGGGAATCAGGTAAGTTGAGGTGCAAAAACTCTCCTCTAGACTAAACAAGCAGTGAACTCTTGCCAAAAAATTTTGGCAAAAATTTTTGCTATCAGCAGGGAAGGCAAAATAAAAGTGTTTTTTAAAAGCCCAACTCCAGGAAATCCTAAACATGATCCCCAGTAGTGAAGCAATGCCTGCATGTTGGGGGTCCATTGCTCATTTGGGTCCAGGGGACAGAGAAAAGAAGATGATCTACATACCTGATGCTGCATACTGCTAGACTGGTCCACACAGCTTCTTCTCCCTCATGTCCCAGTGGTCTAAGGTTCTGACATCATCAAGACCAGGAGAGAGGGGGATCAGGTGAGTTAAGGTGCAAAAACTTTCCCGTAGACTAAACGAGCAGTGATCCCTTGCCAAAAAAGTTGGGCAACATTTTTTTCCATCAATGGGGGAAGGAAAATTAAGGTGGTTTTTAAAATCCCAAATCCAAAAAACTTAAAAATTATCCCAAGCTGCGGGGCTGCACCCGCACTTTGGGAGTTCATTGCTTGTTTGGGTCTGAGACTTAGAAAGGATGATCTACTTACACGATGCTGCAAGCTGCTACAGCGGTTCAGACAGCTGCTTCTCCCCCATTCTCCAGCAGTCTAAGGTCCTGACATCATCAAGACCAGGGGAGGGGAGGGGGAAAATCAGGTATGTTAAGGTGGAAAAACTCTTCCTTAGTCTAAACAAGCAATGCTTTCCTGCATTGTAGGCACAGCCCCAGACCCTTACATATACCCAGTGAAGTGACTGGCCCCAAGTGATACACAGATGAAATAAATCCTCCTACATAAGTTGTACCTGTTTATCTGTCATAATCTTTTCTCTATATCCATTCAAAGTGCTGAATTTATACAGCTTGTCTGAAATTTCAGAAAACAGGGGGTGGAGAGCTGAAGTTACAAACTGCAGAGCTCAGTGAGGAGAGTTCTGTGAGCGATTGGAGGGAAAGGAATGGACACCCCACCCCCTCCTCTTCCATACAGCTCACAGGAACAGAGCTGAGGCTGTCATTCAGCTACAGCTCCCTCCCAGTCACCATTTTTTTCGTGGTGTCAGGAAAAATTGTCAGAAGTGATTCATGCTGATAGAGGAATGAAGCAGCAGAGAGAAATGACACTTTATAATCTAGATTAGGACAAATACACACAATAGAGGGATATGCTTAGTTGATATTTCATGTCTAAAGGTTTACAACCACTTTAAGTTTCCCAGAGTTGGGCTTTAAAGGTCCAGTAGGCTTTCAAGGTCTCCTGAATGTCACATAAGATTCTTTTTTGTATCCTCATTTTCCATATTTTAACCTCATTTTTCAAACTAAGGACAAAAAAAAAAAAAAAAACGATACCAAAAGAAAGGAGAATAAAAAATGTAAATCAACTCTACATGAACAATAAGAAAAGGAATATACAACGCAGCATAGCACAATAAAAATGAGGCACGCACCACGCACGTGTGGTCTGCAGAGCAATGCTGGTGTGTCAGAAAGGTGGGTTGGGTTGTCATTTAGTATGAAAAGCATCGCATCTCACCACTCATGTATCAAGTTTTACAGACAGCAAAAACGATAATTTTGCTTCAAAATTAATTTAGCCAGAATCACTCAGCTCACCCCTAAGGCTGCATTCACATCCGAGCAGATCGATTTTCAGGTGTTTTTAGGCTTTTTTTCATTGGAGTAGTTTCCCACATGTATACAAGCATTTTAGAAGCCTATTTTAAGCATTTTATATGTTTATTCAAGCTTCAGGCATTTTTCTGTAGCCAATGGGAAGCACTAGGGAAGAGACCAGTTTTTACAGGCTACACCTGAAATATACCTTTAAAAAAAAAAAAAAACAACAACACAAAAACGTTTGATTCGATTGTTCACAGGCATTCCCATTAAAGTCTATGATGTTAGAAATGCCTGAATATGCCTGAAAAGTAGCTCATGTAGCTTCTGGAGTGTCAAGTGTCAAGCTGCAGGCACCCGTGCGCTCACTTTAACAGCTGCGTGTTCTGGGAACTTGTACTAAAATGCACAGAAACACGTGTTTCCGG